AACAAACAACAAAATCCTCTACATCAAGGGACTGCTCACGGAATCAAATGCAATGTTTGTAGCATTCACAGAGACCAACACAAGGGATAATTTTGACAACGAAATGTGGATCCCAGGTTATAACCTATTCTGATGCGACAGACTAAACAGGTAACAAGGGCAGTTGGCCTTTACGTCACAGTCGCTCATTTGCTTAGAACTACTAAACACCTCAGATGATGTTTACCTGGAGAGGGTCACGGGGCTCAACGCCCCCGCGGCTCGGTCTGAGACCAGGCCTCGTGGTGGATCAGGGTCTGATCAACCAAGCTGTTACTGTTGACCGCATGCAGACTGATGTACAAACCACAGCCTGGTTGGTTAGGTACTGACTTTAGGTGCCTGTCCAGTGCCCTCTTGAAGACAGCCAGGGGTCTACTGGTAATTCCCCTTATGTATGCTGGGAGGCAGTTGAACAGTCTTGGGCCCCAGACACTTGTTGTGTTGTCTCTCAGTGTACTCGTGGTGCTGCTGCTTTTCATTGGGGGAATGTTGCACCTCCTGCCGAGTCTTTTGTTTTCATAGGGAGTGATTTTCGTGTGTAAATTGGGTACTAATCCCTCTAGGATTTTCCAAGTGTATATTATCATGTATCTCTCTCGCCTGTGCTCCAGGGAATACAGATCAAAGGCCTTCAACCGTTCACAGTAGTTTATGTGCCTTATCGTACTTATGTGTGCCGTGAAAGCTATTTGTACACTCTCTAGGTCAGCAATTTCTCGTTCCTTGAAAGAGGCAGTTAATGTACCGTAGTATCCCAGCCTTGAGAGAACAAGCGATTTGAAGAGAAGTTTTGGCACTATTACACCATGGTCACACTTGTCGAAGGCTTTTGCTAAGTCTGCAAGAAGCCCCTATCACGAGCTTTTACCATCCTATGGAGAGGGAGCATGGACACGGGGGTCGTCCCTCAGTTACTAAAAACAACAGACATAGCCCCACTCCACAAAGGTGGCAGTAAAGCAACAGCAAAGAACTACAGACAGATAGCACTAACATCCCATATCATAAAAATCTTTGAAAGGTTCCTAAGAAGCAAGATCACCACCCATCTAGAAACCCATCAGTTACACAACCCAGGGCAACATGGGTTTAGAACAGGTCGCTCCTGTC